AACCTGGCGACCCGGGTTCGATTCCTTCTCACGGCCAACACCGGTGACGATTATCTCAACCGATCCTAGGCCTCCCCTAGGTCGACTCAGCCTCAAATGAGTACCTGGTGCGGTGTGTAAACATCGCCACTAGGGAGACAAAGGCGGCCAGGCGCGGTGTTGGCCACCCACCCCCTCGTGTGCCGTGCCGGCCTTTATAGGTGCTCGCTAACAGCACTTACCCCAACAGGTCTATTACAGTCTATTACAGGCTATACGGGGGATCTTTGTCCGCATTGATATGAATGGAGTCGGGTAACCGGGATGGTTGGGTGTGTGTGTGTGGAGGGTCACCGACGCTCATCAGCGGCCAGGGATTACATGCATGGCGCTGCTCGCTGTGAAAGCGGACCTGACATGTATGCAAGCATCGAGCGAGGTTGCGCACAAAGCCGCGTCTCTCGCTGTGCGGCCACGGATGCCTCGGTCACGCCGAGGCGGACGGCTCGCGGACAATGGTGCCTCGGCTTCGGGAGCGAGGCTCCGGACAAAGCTAACGCGACTAATGGTGCGAACGCTCATCAACGCCCACCGAGCATAAGCTGTGCGTGCGTGTGGGTCTGTCTCTGAGCGCGCGCGCGTGTGGGGCTGTGTGTGTGTGGAGCGGTTAGTGTAGCGGTCAGCGCGCTGCGCTACGGACCTGGTTCGCCCGGGTTCGATTCCCTCTCACGGCCAACACCAAGTGACGATTATTTGAACCGCTGCTGGGCATCCCCTAGGTCGACTCAGACTCAAATGAGTAACGTGGTGCGGTGTGTAAACATCGCCACTGGGGAGACAAAGGCGGTCGGGCGTGGTGCTGGCCACCCACCCCCTTGTGTGCCGTGCTGGCATTCATAGGTGCTCGCTAACAGCACTTGCCCCAACAGTCTGTTAAAGGCTATACGGGGGATCTTTGTCTTTTTGTAGTGCTGAGCGCACTGACTCTACGAACCTGGCCACCCGAGTTCGATTCGTGCTCACGACCAATAACAGTGGCGAATATTTAAACCGGTCCTCGGGTATCCCCTAGGTTGACTCAGCCATAAACAAGTACCTGGTGAGATGTGCAAACATCAGCACTGGGGAGACAAAGGCGGGCGGGCGTGGTGTTGGCCACACGACACCCTCATGCCTTCATAGGTACTCGCTTAAAGCACTTGTCCCCAAAAGCGTGTGTAGGAGGATCTTTTGTTATTGTACGTGCCTGTGGGTTTGTGTTTGTGTCCGTGTGATTCTGGGTGTATCCTGTATGAAAGTGTGCCCGCGTGTACATGTATTGTGTACCGTTGTCTAGTATTTTTGTATGAGTGTGTGTCTTTGCTGTTGTGTATTTTTGTAGCGGAGCGGTGGTGCAGCACTTAGCGCGCTGCAACTACGAACCCGGCCACGCTGGTTCGATTCCCGCTCACGGTCAACACCGGTGACGAATGTCTGAACCGGACCTTGGCCTCCCCCTGGGTCGACTCAGCATCAAACAAGTACCCGGTGCGGCGTGTAAACATCGCCACTGGGGAGACAAAGGCGGTCGGGCGTGGTGTTGGCCGTGTCGGCCTTCATAGGTGCTACTCGCTAACAGCACTTGCCCCAACAGTCTGTAACAGGCTTTGTTCGTAGGGGATGTGGTAGTTCGGTGGTTATCACATTGCGGCTACACGATTACGAGACGTCGTTACGATCTCGGCGGCCTCGGTTTAATTCCCAACCACGGCTAACATCAGTAACGCTTATCCGAACGGTTCATTGACCCCCCTCCACGTTGACTCAGCCTTAATTGTTGACCCATCTTGTTGCGTGACACCTTTGAATTAGGCACTCGCAACTCATGGGCCTCTTTCCGCGAGCTTCGCCCTCATCGAAGCGAGAGACGTTCGCGCGTAGTCCCCGTGTGTGTCAGAGGCAAGGCCGTAGCCAAGGAGTCAACATTGGGGGAGAACAAATCTTCCAGGGTGTCTGCGGGTCCCAACCCAGAAAAATATCTAAATTTGAAAACAAATTTCCTGCCTAAAATATTTTTAAAAATTCATGAATGGGATTGACTTTTTTATTTTTTACAATGTCTAATAGTGTATTGTATTACATTGATCTGTTTTTACTTTTTTACCATTTCTTGTTTCATTATATGTAATAGCAGAGATTGTGGATTAATAAAGTACAACCATAACCACAATCATATAAACAGAAATCTATGCATTGATTTATATGAAGACAAGTCCAGATATTGTGGGTAAGGTTTAGCAAATTGTTATTTATATTTCCATAGCATAGCAATTTTTTTTATAGCAATATATTGGGGGGGGGGGGGCATTTTGAGAATATTTGAATATTGGGAGTATGTGTCCCCCCCCCCCCCCCCCAATATGTATTATAATTACGGCTTTGGTCAGAGGAGTCACTCCGCCTCCTCGTTGGGATCAACAACTTCAGCTCGGGGAATAACGCGACGGCTTCATGGCGCGCTCGATCGGCGACTCGGAAAGTTTCCTTTCCAAAATCCATTTGCTGCGAGGAAGGCCGCATAATTGATGGACTTGGGGGAGTGGGGAGCGGGTGAATGATCCAAATTGAGAGGGGGCTTCGATCGGCTGCCAAACGTTTGAATTTTTCATGGGGCTCAGGCAGCAAATTAGGAACAAGAGGCTAAAAGCCATTATGCCCCTCTCCTCCTCCTCCTCCTCCTCCACCCCCTCCACACTTTCCCCCACCCCCCGACCCCAAAAGAAAAACATCTTAAACCCGTTGAGATGCCACTCGGTCTCAAAGAGGCTTATGTCACGCGTATCTGCGCCGTGTCCTTTACCCTCTGTCGCCGCGCTGAAAAGAGGGGGGTGGGGAGGCGGGGAGAGATGGGGGGTGGGAGGGGGGGGCGAGGATGCCCCCCATCTCCGTCCCCTTCTATGGGGTTGTCTTTTTATTTCGCACAAGAGTGGGCCCGCGGTATAGGGCAACAAATCGATGGGCGAGCCCCAAAAGAAGAATCCCACAAAGCGAACCGCATGCGCCCCCCTCCCCTCCAGAAAAGACCACACAGGCGGAGGCGACCGCACGCCTCATTTGACGCTTTGTGGCGAACGAGCCACAATGGCCTGGTGCTCCTAACGCTGCGACCATATGCTTCCAGATCCCCTCGCTGCTCGCTGCCAGCCCGGACGAGTGTGGCTCCCGTTGCTTGTGGGGAAACCTCGCTGAGCCGAGCGGAAGGGAAACAATCTGGAACCCCGCGCAGGCGAGTCGAGGCTTGCTTTTGTTGTTGCTGTTGCTGCTGCTGCTTCGCTTGGTGGTAAGCGAGTTGAGTGAGCGGTGGGCGCGAGTGGGGTTGGTTTCGGGACGGAACGGCGGGGTGATGGTTGCGGTCAGAAATTTTATTGTTGATATTTTTATTTATTTTATATTTTTAGATGTTTTGGGGGGGGGGGGGGCGGGGGTTTGATCGATTTGAACACAGTTTCTCAACTTCTGGAGTCGCGTAGGTGTTAAGAAAAGCTCTGTGCGTTTTTTTTTATTGTCCAGAATGGTGATTAACGAAACCGCGCCGTGAAGTTGTTCCCCGTGCGATGTTTGCGACGGTAATAACTCGTGCATAGAACAAGATGGGGCAGGTGAAAAGTGCGGAGCCAGACGTTGTGAATTTAATTGAAGATTTCCCACCACTTTGTACACTTTTGTAACCCTACATTTATGTGCAATACGTGTGTTTATGTGCGGTGAAAATTGAAACGTGCTTTGTGTATCACGTACCTGTCGACCGCTTATCAGTGCCGACCTTCTTCTTGGTTCTTTCGGTAAAGTCACGTAGAAGGGAAGTAATAAAATAGGGGTTGACAGGTATGGTAATCTTCAAACCTGTAAGCTACTCATCCTTGTATTATGCGTGAACGTGGTGTACAATTGACCGCGCAATTTGACGCGTTTTAAGTTGAATACAATGAACCACAACAATGCTCATTATTATTTGCACAGGGAAACTTCCATGAGATATGTGGCCAATTCCACAAAATTCGGAAAGAGACTGGAGCACCCCAGAAAAAATCCTTCCAAACACTCAATATTTCTGCGAATTCCATCAACTCAATTTAGTGACCTGGAATAATTCTCATATGTGGGGGAAATAATAATAATATTCGGATCTCGGAAAGTTGAGCATTTCTTTTGAGACGAGCAGGGATTGCCAATATCTTGTAGACGTGGAGCTGCAATGTGGCTCGGCGATGTTTAGTTTTGTTTCTCACCAGCTCGTAATGTGTTTGGCATCGTGGCATTGCTAATTTTTGGGTCTTTCGGTAAAGTCACATAGATGGAAAATCGTGGCATTGCTTCTACGAGCGAATTGAGAAACTCAAGGCAATGGACATTGACACAGACTTCCCATCACCAGCTAAAAACTCCAAGTGCATTGCGAACAGGTAGTCTACATCACTATTACTCTTACTACTATTTTTAAATGTTACCAGGTAAGGCCCACTGAGCTATATAGCTCTTAGTCAGAAGTGACTTGGCAACAAATGATAGCCCAACGAAGTGGCTTATCACGTGGAAATTCATAGCAGCCAAATACTCTAAAGGCACTTGTTTAAATGTGGAGGGAAAACCCGGAGGATCTAGACAAAAAAAACACGCGACCACGGGAGAGAGAGACACGCAAACACCAAATATACAACAGGCGTCAAGGGTCGGGATCGAACCCACGACCTCCTGCATACCAGGCGAGGTAGTTTGAGTCCACTTAGACACCCGATTCCCCCTTACGAGGACTTAAAAGCGACTCCTTGCGCGGAGCAACAAATCTAACGGTGCTCGCCCTTTTCTCCGGCAGAGGCGGAACAGATCGATTGGACTCGAGTCTCGGCGGCGGCGCGACAGAAGAAGAGTAGTTGAGCGAGTGGAGAAGGAAGGTGGAGAGAGAGAGGGGTGGGGGGAGCGGAGAATACAACAAGAGAAGGAGCGGGCGGGAGGGAAGGAGGGAGGGAGAGGCAGAGAGGAGGAGGAGGAGGGGTCCGCACAAGGGGATAGAGAGCTCGCCAGAGGCGGCGGATAACGGCGACCATCCACAACTTGAAAAGGAACGTCGACGCAGCAGGAGCGAGCGGAGGAGAAGCTGCGTCGGATCGGAGGGTCCCGCGTCTCCCATGGATATGATGTGTGAGTCGTCGGCGTGTCCATCACCGCGCACCATCGCACATTAATATGGAGATCCGAGACGTCCTATTACAAGTGCGATTGATGTCCCTCGTGTTCAGTTAATAGATTAGAAGTGATCATAATAAAATAATAATCGTCATTATTTGTAGTCCTCTGTCAATCCACTGCGAGATGAAGGCCTCTCTATCCACGCTTGCGTTAGTCGTCGGAGTTACTTGGCTATACGTGACCGCAACTGGTCAGTGCTGGTTGGTGAAGTGAGGAGTGGTGGGTGGAGGGTGTGGGGGGTAAGTGCCGTGGCACAAGGCGTTAGCCGTAGCGGGGAATAGAATGGGTTCATACCGTGGTGCTCTAATCATCTGCGCTGCCATTCCACCCGTCAATTCTACTGGCATGCAAGCAATGACTCCTTCATATATCTGTCACTCCACGTAAAATAATTGAAGAATACCTTACACAACCAATTGGCCTGCCCTTCGTATTTAGTTAATTATGCACAATTATACATCTTCGATTAGCACGGTTGGCTACATACGGTGCAAAAGAAGTTCAACATACATATATAAATCCGATGCAGTCTGCTCGACTGTGGAACTGAACGAGCCTCGATTCACATCCAATGCTTGTCGCTCCAAAAGGTGGGCAGGAGCTGCAGAATACAAACGGCGGAATCTTGAGTAGACGAGTACATCTCTCTGTCTGACAATCTGTGCTTCGTGTGTGCTCCTTGCAGACTCCGTGGGATACCGCTGCTCACACTACGCGGGGATGTTCCGACTGGACTGCCCGCCGGCGCACGACCCCCGCGCTCCTCCGTGCGGCGTGAGACTCGCTCCGCAGCCGTGGCTCACTCCTCTGCGAGACTCCAACCCCGTGTGCCTCGCCTCTCCGAGTGCCGCTCCCTGTGCCCCCGCCGCCAGAAAATGCTCCGTGGACTTTCACAACCTGGCCCGGGATCTCGAGTCACGGCCCGCGTTAAGCGAGAGCGCAATGCAGGGACACATCGCCCGTGACACCTCGTCGGATGCTAACGGTCGCCTGCTGTGCTCGGCCGCGGTCGAAGGTCCCAGGTCCGCGCACGGCGTCGCCCGGCCGAAGGCTCAGCGCGGCCTGCAGCGGGGCGAACAAAGGGAGGAGCAGGCGTGGAAACGAGAGCGTAAGGTTGAGAAGGTTGAGACGTCCTCTCCGGATGACGGTGCTCAATATTCTGCGAGACCGACGCACGCGGTGTGGATGAACAACATCAACAGCGGCAGCAGCATCGCAAGAGGTGATCGCTCGGAGAGGCGCACTCCTTCCAGAGCCGGTGAGCCAAATCCTCTGGACACCTCGAGGGGCGATGTCTTTGAGACGCCCAAGAGCATCGTGGGGGGCCAGCACAAGAGCGCCTTCTCGCCTCCAGCCAAGTCCGAGCACAGGCGCTCCACCAGCTCTCAGTTCATGGTCTCCGAGCTGCTAAAGACGACAACGGCGTCCACTCACTTTGGCGCACGCGGCATCACCGCCACCGCCGCCGCCACCGCCGCCGCTCACAACGGGCCCACGTTCGTCTACGCGGACTGCAGGGCCTCCTGGTCCAAACCTCTGGTGCACAGGCCCATCTTGAGGCCGTCTCCTCCGCTGCCCATGCCTCAAGTGGCCGGCCCCGGCGGGCTAGGGTTGCCGCCGCAGAACTGGTGCGCCAAGTGCAACGTGTCCTTTCGTCTCACGTCGGACCTGGTCTACCACATGCGCTCTCACCACCGCTGCGAGCGCTCGGCCGAGCCGCTGTCGAAGAGGCGCCGCGAGGAGAGGTTACGCTGCCAGGTGTGCGGGGAGAGCTTCCGGGAGAGGCACCACCTGTCCAGGCACATGATATCGCATAACTGACCCGCGTGACGGCCGTCGTGACGAGCATGGGACTCCGCAATTCTGCCGTCGGCCGCCTTCCCGCTCCTCCTGGCTACACCTGCATACGCTTCATTGCCGCGTTCGTTTCGGAACTCCCCGAGTTAGTTTGCCTTGTCTGACTCGAAACCCGCACGCGTGTCGCAACCCGTCCGCCGTCGCCTCGACGCGATGAAATCGAGGACACTTTCTCCGCCGCGCTCTGCTACGAGCTCCCAACGTCGCTTACCCTAACCCCGCCGTGAAATCCCGACCATGCTCCGCTTGCAGCGATGATATTGGTTGGCAAGGCCGACGCACGGTGACGTTAATTAAGCACAATTTATGCGCAGTAATTTGGTGACAATGTGCCTTTTGTGGTGTCTGTGTGACTTGTGTGATGTGTGTAACGGATTTTTACTGCAGAGAAAACAAATATACTTTGATCTGTATTTTATGTTTAAAATAAAAAGGTTTTAGAAATATTTTATGTATGTATATATTTATAGTGATATGTATGCAAATGCACACACACATACTACTTAGGTTAACATAAAACAGTAAAACTGGTCATGAGTAATAATCGGAAAAACAATAAATAGTCTGCAACTTTTTTTATCTAAATAAAATAATGAATTCACAGACCATTTCGATTTAAAGCTTTCGTGACTGCAGGGATTCATCTTCTTGGTTCTTTCGGTAAAGTCACGTAGAAGGGAAATAATAAAATAATAAAAATAAAACATAATAAAATAATTCTCACGACGTTTCGGCCACAACGCAAGCAGCCGTCCTCAGGTGAAGAACAGGTCTGTCGCTGTCTTTCCGACAGGCCGAAACGTCGTGAGAATTATTTTACTATGTTTTATTTTTATTATTTTATTATTTCCCTTCTACGTGACTTTACCGAAAGAACCAAGAAGATCACAGACCATTGTCTATGAAGGTCTCTCCAACGACGTGTCAGTCATGGACGGTTGTTTGACCACCATTCTTCACCGCGCTGATCACTCGCCACCGATGTTGCCCCTGGGCCCGAATTCAGCTCAGGTCACCGGATTATAGCACGGTGCGCTAACCACTGTGCCACCACTCCTTCCACCCACGATGAGCATTTTCTTTTGACTATTGTCCTGTGTATATGTTTAACTGTAACGTACATCAGTCTTAGTCTTTTTTTACGAAGAAGTATTGTCAAATTACCAATGCATTTAAAACCGCTAAATATATTATTAATATTTTATGCATAAAGTATATTATTTTTTAATATTATTCGCATTGCTATGTCTACATTAACAATACGATTTAGTGATGGTGCCATTGTATGTCTTGGAAAGAATGTTGAAATGGGAATAAACGATCAGCCGTAGTCTATTTATTTGCTATGAATTATTTGTTATGCGTTATCTGTTGTGAATTATTTGCTCAACGTGCTTAAACACATTGTATATTGCTAATTAAACACGGAATAGTCCTCGCTTAACAAACCATCGGAACTTGCATAGCCTCGTCATTTGTTGTTCAAGAAATAGTATTGGGAACGCCTGGGAATTCCCTAGGAAGAGCTCGAGTCTGCCGCCAGGGCAAGGGAGGTCTGGACCGCTCGACTCAACACGCAGCTGCCGCAACCATCACCAGGACAAGCGCATGTTTAGATAAACGCATGCAATTATATTGCCTATGAGCTGAGCCCGCTGTTGTCGGAGTTCAGAAGCTAAGCCGGCTTTGAGCCTGGTCATTCGGATACTCACATGGCTGAGCACCAGTGGATGGCTATGAGATGCCAGGAGATGGCAGTCCAGCAAATGGATGCGACCCATGGATAGATTGGGTCCACTCACACTGGGTTGAGTCTGTTGGATTAATAAAATAACAAGCGAAGCTTTTCGTGGGATTCCCTTGCACGAATGGGTATTCTCCGGGTACTCGGGGTTTCTCCAACAAATTGGGGATGCCACGGTGGCGAAATGTTAACTACCTCGCTCGGTATACAGGAGTTTGCGTGTCTCTCTATCCCAGTGGTCAAGTGGATTTTTCTCCGGGTCCTCCGATTTTCCTCCACATTTAGAAACATGCTTTTAGAGAATTTTGATGCTATTGATTTCCACGCGATAAGCCACTGCGTCGAGTTATCATTTGTGGCCAGGTCGCCTCTGAAAAATAGCTAAATAGCTCAGTGGGCCTAACCTTATATTCGAAATCACCTGCGTCAAAATGATGAAAAAAATTACGAACAACAGTAGGTCGGAGTGCGTTTTGGAAAAATTAAACAAATTATGAAAACAAAACATACTGACAGGGGTAAAGATTTAAAGTGTTTAATCATACATTAGCCTTATAACATACGGATCAGAAACACTGACGCTGAACAATTAATATTGAACAAAAAGCTGGAAATGGATTGCGTAAAGATTTGCACGCTAACGAATTACACACCAAGAGAGTAAGGGGGGAGCACCAGTGCCGGATTATCAGGGAGCTACATGTGTAGTAGCGACTACATATGTAGTAGCTACTACATATGTAGCAGCTACACGTGCTACGGGCCCCGCACTTTCAAGGGCCCCGCGCTAAATGCTTTCAATCTATCAATTCCGGTTCAGTGATTCTGCACTTGCTCTATTACTATAGTACTATACCGCCTTCAACTTTTATGAACGACTGGGTGTTTAAGGTTAGCGATTTGTCGAATTATCCGGCTGTATAGCAAATTAAAAAATACAATTACTTTAATATGCAAGTTAAACATGTGTGTTTTAATATATATATTTTTTATATTTAGAACCCCTTAATAACATATGCTACAGCCCCCCCCCCCCCCCACTAGCTTAATCCGGCACTGGGGAGACCGTGCGAGCGAAGAGACATCGGCACACAACCGAGTGCCATCCCGCTGAGAGGGTTTTCTCTTATATAATAAATATATAGGACACCTATGCGATCACGATCACGTGCTATATGGTACACTGCGAGTATAATGCCGCCGCGTCTTCCGCCAAGTGCTTGAACTGTGCGTGACGAGCTCTATGGAGCCCCCCCCCCCTCCCCTCTGGAGGGGTTATTGGGCCGAGTCTGAACCCATCCTGCCGATCGACTTGCCGTGTTGAACCCGTTTGCACCGCTGGGTGGGACAGAGGCGGTTGTGGGTGGCTGGGTTTTAGGAAAAATTCGCGACGTGGCTTCAACTAACACGCCGGGGAGATCGAGTTGAATCGGTGACCTCTGGATCGCAAGTGCGGATGCGGCCGCGCACCGTATTCTGCGGATTATAAGACGCACTTTGTTTGATTCTCCCCCCTCCCCCATCCCGGTATTTTAGAGCAACAGATGGGTGTGCGTTTTATAATCTTGTTGTGTTATGCATTTACTGTTGTAACGGTCAGCGTACTGCACTACGAACCCGCCGACTCGGGTTCTATTGCTGTGCACGGCCAACACCAGTGACGATTATCTGAACCAGTCCTGGGCATCCCCTAGGTCAACTCAGCCTCAAATGAGTACCTGGTGCGGTGTGTAGTAAACATCGCCACTGGGGAGACAAAGGCGGCCCGGCGTGGTCCTGGCCACCCACCCCCTCGTGTGCCGCGCCCATCTTCAAAGGTGTTATTCGCTAACAGCACTTGCCCCAACAGTCTGTTAAAGGCTATACAGGGGATCTTTGTCTGTTTGTTTGCTGTGTTTGTTTAACTCGATCGACACCAGGCACACGTTTGGGGTGCCTCTTACTTTGCGGACAATCTTACAATCTGGAGAATACGGTGATCCATGGCAGAATTCCTGCGAACCCATAAATCTGACCCCATATCGAATCCCTACACATAAGCCCCTATATATATCCCTGCATCAACCCGATAGTTAATCGCTGCATCTCATCCTACGCCGCACTTAACACGTTACATCTAAAAACTGTGATCCTCACCCAGTATCTCAAATCCTTGAATCTCACGGCTATATTTAATGCATTTATCCCCGATGCCACCCAGTGTATAGCCCCTGTATGTAATTCCTACACAATAACCGCAAATTATTCCTACACAATAAGTGATGCGGGGGTGGAAATTAAAGCTACAACTATTTTATGATCAGGTAAGGCTCACCGAGCTGCATAGCTCTTTTTCAGAAGCGACCTGGCCACAAATGATGGCTCAACGATGTTGGCTTAGCGCGTGGAAATTTATAGCAGCCAAAAATACTCTTGAATCCACGCGACCACGGCGAGAACATGTCAACTCCAGATATACAGCAGGCGTCAGGGTTGGGATCGAACGCGACAACCTCCCGTATACCGGGCGAGGTAGTTAACATCTCGCCACCGCGGCAACGCCTTGGTCAGGTGATCTCTTTTCAATTCTTCTTGGTTCTTTCGGCAAAGTCACGTAGAAGGGAAGTAATAAAATAATAAAAATAAAATATAATAAAACAATATTATAAAATATTATTTTATTATATAATATTATTTATATTATTATATTATCTTATTATATTATTTTATTTTATTATTTTATTTTTATTATTTCATTACTTCCCTTCTACGTGACTTTACCGACAGAACCAAGAAGTTGAATCCCTGCAGTCACGAAAGCTTTAAATCTCTTTTCACTTGTTGCACCGGAGCCCACGCCACCCAACCCAACCACGCCACTGCATCCCACCATTGCCTACAAGCTCAGGGGGGGCACTGCGGCGGTGGTGGCGGGGTGCGCTGCCGCCAGCCGGTGCCGCGCCAACTGCTTGGCCTTGAGCAGCGCGGCCTGGGGGGCCACGGGAACGTGGGGGGAGACGCCGGTGCGCTCCCAGCGCGCCAGCAGCGAGCGCTGGCCCGGCACGGCCAGGTAGAGGTGCGTGCCGTCCACGTGGTAGGTGTGTGCCGGCAGGCAGCCGACGCCCGTCGTCTCGCCGATGAGGAGTGCGCGGCCCAGACGCTTGAGCACGGCCGCGAACTCCTCGGCGGCGCCCAGGGTCTGACGACTCGTGAGCACCAGCACGGGCTTGCGCGAGCCGTAGCGCTTGCCTGCGTGCGTGCGCGTGTGTGTGTGTGCACGTGTGTGTGGGTGCACGTGCGTGCACGTGTGTGTGTGCGTGTGTGTGTGAACGTGTGTGTGTGTGAACGTGTGTGTGTGCGTGTGTGTGTGTGCGTGCGTGCACGTGTGTGCGTGTGTGTGTGCGTGAACGTGTGTGTGTTCGTGCACGTGTGTGTGTGTGCGTGTGTGTGAACGTGTGTGTGTGCGTGAACATGTGTGAACGTGTGTGTGCGTGCGTGAACATGTGTGAACGTGTGTGTGTGCGTGAACATGTGTGTGTGCGTGTGTGTGAACGTGTGTGTGTGCGTAAACGTGTGTGGGCGTGCGTGAACGTGTGTGTGCGTGCACGTGTGTGTGTGCGTGCACGTGTTTGTATGTGTGCACGTGTGTATGTGAATGTGTGTGTGCGTGCATGCACGTGTGTGTGTGCGTGCACGTGTGTGTGTGCGCGGGAGCACAGTGGGGAGCGGTAGTGTAGTGGTTAGTGCGCCGCGCTATGAACCGGGCGACCCGACTTCGATTTCGGCTCACGGCCAAGACCGGTGACGATTATCTGAACTGGTCCTGGGCCTCCCCTAGGTCGACTCAGCCTCAAATGAGTACCTGGTGCGGTGTGTAAAAACATCGCCACTGGGGAGACAAAGACGGCCGGGCGTGGTGTTGGCCACCCACCCCCTCGTGTGCCGTGCCGGCCTTCATAAGTGCCCGCTGACAGCACTTGCCCCAACAGTCTGTTACAGGCTACACGGGGGACCTTTGTCTTTGTGTGCGGGATCACAGCGGCGAGGCACCGGTGGTGCATCCCGGCCACTCAACCCGCCCGTCCCGGGGGCCTCCTGCCAGCGGGCCCTCGACACTTCGCGTGGCCTCAAGGTGGCACCTCGCCTCGCACAAGCGCCGTGGTGACATCACCGCCACCGAGCGGTTAACGGTGGCCGCTGTTGCTGCTGCTATGCGTTGTGGGCAGACGCGTGGATGAGTGGGGGCAAGTGGATGAGAAGGCAGGCAGATGGGTGGGCAAGGGCGGGGGTGTTGTGGGAAGGCGAGAGATGGGTGTGTGGATTAGGTGGTCAGACAGATGGGTGGATAGGTGGGTAGGCAGATGGGTGGCTAGGTGGGTAGGCATACAGGTGGATAGGTGGGAAAGTGGGGAGGCAAGTGGGTGGGTATGTGGGTAGGCAGGTGGTTGGATAGACAAGTCGGCAGGAAGGTGAATGGGTGGGCATGAAGGTGGCTGGGTAAGCAGATGGGCTGGTTGGTATTTTGGTGGGTAGGAGCAAGCAGGTGAGTGGGTAGGTGCGTTAGCAAGGTGAGTGTGGACAGTCGGGTGGATTGGTGGGCAGCATAACATAAGTTCTGATGCCAACAATGTTAACCCAATAACATTGCAACATCGGCAATGGTGATGACAATACTAACAAGACAATCAATAGGAACAATCACAATAAAGAAACACATTACTGCAATGGCAATGCGTTCTGCTGAGAACGCATCATGACAATCTCTGTTCCACTTGTCATGTTTTAATTGCTATTGGTCATATGGTAGTCGTAAGCTATATTCGTGTATCGAGGCTCACACTATAACTCACGACGGATGCAATCGTGGGTTATAGACACAGCGGCAATTGATGTGTTTGATTACATAAGGCAACAATTCAATATTCACACTTGTACAGATCTTAGAATCGTGCATTGTGTGTGTGTTTGGACACCGACTAATAATTCCAGCCAATAAAATTCCCACCGAATTCTCCCGTTGAACCGGCCTATTCCACGTTGTTTTACCGACGTGTGTATGCACGCTGAGCGTCTTTCGCACCGTACGTAGCCAACGGCGCTAATCGGAGGTGCGGCGGGAAGAACAACCAACTAAACACACACACACAAAACTAGCAGTTCTGAATAAATGGCCTTTCAATGTGGATGATTTGAAAGTGCACTGCTCTGGTGGCTGCCTAACATCGGAAGGAAGAGCGTTGCGACACCGCCGCCGCAGAAGCGCATCTGAAAGCGCGCGATGCCGTGAGCGTTGTACCTGCCGGGCTCGCCGCTGTGTCGCGTGCCGTGCTTTGTTTACCGGGTAATCTCGCGATGGTCCACATCTGCTGGGTGGTGTTGGACCGTCTCGTGTAGACGCTGTCGAGCAGAACCGGCTGATCTTCATCAAACAGATAGGAGGCGAGTGTGGGGATGGAGGAGATGGGACCTCCTACATTGTACCTGCAGTGCAACAACATCATCATCATCGCTTATTCCGGACTTAGCTCGGACTCAACGATGAATCGATTCACTTTATAATCGATTGAGAGTTCAGCAGAGACAATATCGTTCTAGACATAGCCATTGAAGTGCGTGTGTGTGTGTGAAAACTGATAACCGTGGATAATTGTAATCTAATAATATTCATAACCTTGGATTTATCTTAACCTTGGATTTGTATAATTTATCTTGCAGCCCTCGGTCAAGACACTGTTGGATGGAGGTCTTCTTCCCATGCTGCGTGGCTCACGAGGATTGTTTGACCACACTTCACTGCTGATGAACAGTTAACGCACGCCAAATGTTGCGGTTTGGTTCACAAATGCCGGTTCCCCACAGTCCACGCTTACCGAATTACCGACAATCGCTCTGACGAGTACAGCGTCTCACGGATTCATGCGGTGAGGTTGGCAAACGTGGAAAGGCCGACGGTCTTGGAGCAAACGACGCCACACCCTCAACCCCAATCGGAAACGAAGCCGATGATTTCCAAGTCTGGATCTACAACTTGTAAATGTGGTGTCACACCGCCACCTGGTGGTAGTAAGAATAATAATAACCTCTGATAGAAGAGTCGTGTCATCACAAACGCACTTGCTGTACTTGCAGGCGGGTGTCACGCGCATAATGCCTCTGTGGCTGAGCCACCAATCTCGCCCCTAGGGGGCTGACTCACGGTCGGGCACCACCACCCCGGGCTTCTGTATTTATAACGAGACGTTAACTACCTCGCCTGGTATACAGGAGGTCCTGGGTTTGATCCCGACCCTGACGATGCCTGATGTATATCTGGAGTTTGCGTCCCTCTCTCTATCTCATCATCATCATCATCACGGTGGCTAGGGGATGTTAACTCCCTCGCCTGGTATACAGGAAGTCATGGGTTCGATCCCGATCCATGACGCCTGCTGTATATTTGGAGTTTGCGTGCTTCTCTCTCCGTGGTCGTGTGGGTTTTTCTTCGGGAGTCCTCTGTTTTTATTTTGCTTCTTCCACATTTAGAATCGAGGCCACGCGTTTAGAGCATTCGCCTCCTATACATTTCCACGCGACGAAGACGACACTAAGCCGCTACGTTGAGCCGCCATCGTTTGCGATAGACAGGATCGCTTCTGATCAAGAGCGATGTACAAGCTCAGCGGGCCCTTTCCTGGTAGTAAAAAAACCAACACCAAAAAAATGTGTTTACTTTGTGGCGATTGTATCGGGAAAAAGAGGAGGTGGGTGTTTGGGGGAGAAACCCGGCACCTTAGGTCGATGATGAGGATCTCGGTGTCGCAGATTTTCTTCCACACGTGCTCCACCAGCAGGTGGGCCACGTGCTCGAGCGCCTCCAGGTCGCTGAATAGGTCGAAGCGAAGGTAGCCGATCTTCCCCTCCAACACGTCCGTGATGAACGAGAACTTGATGAGGTCCTCAAACGACTCGGTTGGAGGCATCTGGGACAAAGACAAAGATTCCACCACCCGGTATAGCCTCGAACAGACTGTTGAGGCAAGTGCTGTGAGAGAGCATCGATGAAGTGGGTTGCTCGCTAGCACCTTGCCCGGCCGAATTTCTCTCCCGAGCTGTGATGTTTACACATTGCATCAGGTACTCATTTGAGGTTGAGTCGACCTAAGGGAAGCCCATGACCGGTTCAGATAATCGTCGCCAGGTGTTGGCCGTGAGCTGGAATTGAACTCGGGTCGCCGGGTTCGTAGCTGGCCTATGAGTCCCCACTCTGTGACGCACACACACAGAAGCGAGTGCGACAAGCAGCAATTTGCGAGGAGCCTGCTCTGATTGAGAACGTTAAACTCGTCGCACAAGCCAAGAAAACGCATCGCGTTTTAGCAAACGTTCGTGGCCCTTAACATTCGTGGTGTTGCCGCATAAAAGTGTCTCAAAGTGTATCTCTGCTCAAATGAGCGTGGGCCAGCGATTGCTGTGAACTCTCACGCAGAGTTGCTGCTTGTATTGACCCTGGGCGGTTAAGAAGCGCGCAAAGACGCTTGGACTAAGACTGATAGACAGAGCACATGGGTTAGATAACACACGCAGGATACATACACAATGATGAGTGTTATGAACCTGCGCTATTTCGGATCCTCAAAGACCAATATTAATTAATGAGGCTCAGAAATTCTAGATTTAAAGCTTTCGTGACTTGCAAGGATTCATATTCTTAGTTTTTTTCCGGTAAAGTCATGTGACTTTACCGAAAAAACCTAAGAATATGAGGCTCAGAAAGTCAGATTATGCCAAACATAAGATGCCGAACATTCTCAAGAGTTTGTTGTGAATACTTGTAAATTCACTGCTAATTCTTAAACAATAATAGTGTCTTTGTGAGCCCGGAGCATTAACATTCAGAGCACGTTGTTCATGCCCAGGGCTCAGTATTAATCTTCATGGCTCAATAAACTAAACTCTGATGACTCCTGGGTTCCAATGGAAAATAATGAGGTCCACACACCACCAGTGTCCAAACACTGCATGAGCCAGCTTGATAGACAGAACACTGTGTACGAGTCATACAGAGTGGGTATTCCTTTCTTTCTTCCTCCTGGCTTTAGTCGCACACTTCGTGGGAGGCAAGCGACTAAGTTCGGTGATGATGGGAATCTTAATTGCAGGTCTTCAGCAAATGCGTAACATTCGGCTGAGCCTGCCCTGTGAGTATATGACCAATCTGCCTCCGGTCCGACGGACTTGATTGCGTTAAATGCCGCGTGCGCACTACATTCACCTGCATGGGCACGATGCCCGGCATCCTGTCCGTGGCATGCTCGGGCACACACACCGCCTTGAGGTGGCGGTCCCCCGTGATGAGCTGCAGGTGCACGGTCAACTTGAAGGCGAGCTCCTCCTCGGACCTCAGGGCTCCGTACTCCCCGGCCGCGAGCAGCGCCGCCAGCTTGCTGGGGACGCCGAGCGCGGCCTCCGCCCTCGAGTAGCCGTCGGCCACCAGCTTTCCCCGCCGTGCGCAGGATAGACGGGGCGTCAGCGCGCAACGCCGCCATGCGCAGGGCCGACTGCAGCGCCTCGGACGCCTTGGTCTGCACGTGCGGCTCCACGCCCGCCACGCTCCACGTGCGGCCCCCCGAAGGGCTCACGCCGGCCTGGTTGGGGATGAAGACGTAGAGGCGGCTGTCCCCGATGCGGTAGGTGCCCGTGGACAGCGAGCCGCCCGTCGTGGGCTCGCCGATCACCGTGGCCCGCTTGAGGTCGCTCATGACCCTCGTGAGGATCTCGCCGGCCGAGCCGGTCATGTGGCTCGTGAGGATGTAGACGTCCTTGCTGGCGCCGTAGCGCTGGCCCAGCACCCGCGGGACCGTGAACACCTCGGCGCTGCTCCTGCTGGGCCGGTCGAAGACCGTGTAGAGATGGCGCGGAGGCGACGCGTCGAAGAAGTACGAGCAGAGGATCGGGATGGACGTCGAGTAGCCGCCCATGTTGTAGCGCACGTCGATGACGAGCGAGCGCGTGCCGGAGATCTTGTTCCACACCTTCTCCACCAGCTGAGGCCCCACGTGCTTCAGCACCTCGGCGTCGGTCATCATGTCGAAGCGCAGGTAGCCGACGTTGTTGGCGAGGATGTCCACCTTGAAGACGGTGTCGATGAGCACGCTGAGCTCCTCGGGAGACGGCACGCTCGGCGTCTTGTCCGCGTCCATGCGCTCGATCTGCAGGTCGCTGTAGAAGGCGTGCAGGCGGTGGTCGCCCCAGATCTCGTGCAGGTCCGAGGTGAGCTGCGACGCAAGCGCCTCGTAGTCCACCACCGAGCGGTACTTTCCCTCGCGGTACTTGAGGAGGATCTCGGCCGTGGCGTTCTCGCCGTCGCTCAACATCGCGTAGTAGCCCTCCACGAGCGAGCCGGCCAACTCGAGCAGCGACACCATTTTCGGGTGGAAGTCGATGATTTCCTTGGCCGCGTCCAGCGCGTTCTCGGCCAGCACGATTGCGTCGGGCACGACGCCGCCACCCAGCCAGTACTCGTCGTTGTTGTCGATGAAGTTGATGATGGGCACGGTCATGTAGAGGCCCGTGTCCGAGAGTCGGAACGCCAGGCTGTGTGCCAGCCTGCCCGACGTGATCTCGCCCACGATGGTGGCCCTGTTGAGCGACTGCATGAGGTAGGTGAACTCCTCGGCCGCCGTGGCCGTGTGCTGGCTCGTGAGGAGGTAGACGCCCTTCTTGGAGCCGTAGAGCTGCGAGGTGAGGTTCGACACCGTGTGGAACTCGGCGGTGACGTTGCGCAGCCTGTCGTACACCGTGTAGAAGTGCACGGGCGGCGACGTATCCTGGAAGTAGCTGAGCACGATGGGGATGGCGGTGGAAGAACCCCCGAGGTTGTAGCGGAGGTCTATGATCACGTTGTCTGTGGGCTGGATGCGCTCCCACACCTTGGAGACCAGCTGCTTTCTGAGCTTCATCACGGCCGACGCGTCCCCGAACTCGTCGAAGCGGAGGTAGCCGATGTTCCCCTCCAGGACCTCCACCTTGAACACGCTGTCCACGATGGCCTCTAGCATCTGCTCGTCGTCCGGCAGCGGCGCGGGTGGGCCCGGGGGGATCGGCTGCGCCAGCGGGGGCCACTCGGGCTCGCGGTTGCTCACGACGAGACGCGGGTCCTCGGCCACCCGACTGCAGGTCCTGGGTGAGCTTCGACGTCAGGTCCTCCACGGACACCACGGAGCCGTACTCGGACCACGAGAGGTGGTCCGCTATGGCCGAGGCGCGCTCCACGAACGTGTAGGAGCTGAGCAGGAGTTCGCCCGCCGCCTCGACGGCCTTGCGGGCCACGCCGCGAGCGTTCAGGATCTCCAGGGCCTTGTCCAGGGCCCGCTCGGAGGGCGCGCTCACGCACGGGAAGACGCCCGTCAGCTCCCAGCTGCGGCCCGTCAGCGGGCTCTGGGACCTCGCCGTGGGCACGGTGACGAAGAATCGAGAGTCGCCCAGGCGGAAGCGCTCCACCTCGAGGGAGCCTCCGGCCGTCTGCTCGCCGATCACGGTGGCCCGGTGGAGGTGTTTGAGCACGTAGGCCACGTTCTCGGCGACTCCCTCGGTGTTCGCGCTCACGAGCACGAACACGTCCTTGTGCTTGGCGAAGCGGGCCCCCTGGAGGTCCGGCAGGGACCAGATCTCCTTGCTCTCGTTCGTGGGCCGGTAGTAGACCGTGTCCAGGTGCAGCACGGGCCTGGGCTCGCAGAAGCAGGACACCAGGTAGGGCAGGCCCGTGATGTCGCCGTGCGAGTTGTATCTGAGGTCCAGCACGAATGTGTCCGTGTCCACCAGCCGGTTCCAAATCCTCTGGACGATGACGGGGCCCAGCTTCTTGATGGTCGCCTCGCTTATGATCTCGTCGGCTCTCAGGTAGCCCACGTTTCCGTCCAGCACCGCGAAGCTCGTCTTTTGCGGGATGGTGGCTAGTAGCTCCTCGAAGGTAGTGGGGCGGTGCTGCTCACCAGCGTCCCATCCCTCCGCGTCACCCTCCTCCCGGTCGCCGTCGTCGTCCACGTCTGGCACGTAGCTCACCGCGATCCTGGGGTCATTGAGGGCCCCCTGGATCCCCTCGGTGAGCGCCGACGCGGCGCTCTCGGGGTCGGAGACGCCGAGGAGTTCCCCGTTGTCCACCGCTCGCTGTATGGCTTCGTCCATGCCCACCAGGTTCTCGGGGATGCAGTAGTTGTCCAGCAGCACCTTGGCCAGGTGCAGCACCACGGCGGTGTCGAACTTATACTGCGCTTGGCTGTGGCACGTGGCGAGCGGCAGCAGCAACAGCAGCAGAAGGCGCGTGGGGAACGCGGTGCGCTGCTCACGCGAGCCGGCCATGGTGGTGGTGGTGGCCTCTGTCAAAGGCAGCGGCCGTGGTGTCTGAGCAAAGTGCCCGGGAATTATCAAGGACGTGATCCTCTTTGGTTGGCTTTCAGCAGATTAATCCGTGGGATTTGACGTGCATCGAGGTTGGAGCGGGAGTGGGTGGGTGGGTGGTGGGGTGGAGTTGGAGGACGGGTTGCGGGATAGTTGAAGCTCCTCTTAAAGTCGCCGTCAGATGGGTCTCGCTACCGACACTTGGTTCATGCGAGAGGCGAACGGTGGTGATGCGTAACGCGCGGGGCTGTGGTGGTGGTCATGATGATGATGGACATGAGGAGTTGGCAGCAAATATCGACACCCAAACCCCACGGGGCAGCGCGCTTTTGGCTGCTTCCGTGGACTGTCCATTCCCGCCCGCATACTGCCCCGATGACTGTCTTCGTACAGCTCGCCTCGCCTAGCTAGCAGTTATTGAGAGGAAGCGCCTCGCACGTGGCCGCGAAACGTCGGACATCACACGGCAGCCTACGCAGCAGCCATCCAGAGAGGATGCGTGCCCGCTGGCGTGTGGTCACGTGAGCTAAGCTCAGGTGAGCCTGGTGAGTGCTTCGATGGTGGTAGAGTGCACGGGAGTAGCAGGTGTTGTAGGCTTGTTATAAACTGATTATCGAACTCGGAACTTGTGTGTGTGTGGGGAGCGGCGGTGCAGCGGTTAGCGCGATGTGCTACGAACCCGGGACACCCGAGTTCGATTCCCGCACACGGCCACTAACACCGGTGACGATGATCTGATACCGGTCCTGGGCCTCCCCCTAGGTCGACTAAGCCTCAAATGAGTAACCTGGTGCAGTTTACGAAACATCGCCACAAAGGGAGACAAAGGCGGCCGGGCGTGGTGCTGGCCACCCGTCTTGTGACTTCATGCGTTACTCGCGAACAGGCACTCGCCCCAACAGTCTGTTACAGGCTATAACGGGGGAACCTTTGTCTTTGTCTGTGTTACCTCCCTCGCTACTCGCGGGGTTGCTCCGCAGTGGAACTCCCGTGAACGCGAATCTCTTACAACGCTGTGTGCGTCGCAGGACCCTCGCCACAACGAGTCTTGAGACTCGGTCACGTAGTCGCTTTTTCCCACACGGGGCATTAACATTCATTCACTTCTGTGTTGTTCGTGTGGAATGCGTGTTTTGCTACGTTCTCTTTCTAAGAGGAGCATGTCGCTCTCCGTGATAAATAATCGCAGCGGGTGTCCTTCCAGGGGTTAAGTTTCACTTGGGAATTCTACTCGGGTGTAAAACATTTTCTTTGATATTTTCCGGAGCGTGGCACCGGACAGCTCTGGCTGAAATCGAGCCTCGGGGGTGACGACTCTTACCGATTATATTCCCAATGAAGCCGTTGCGCACAGCACGACATGAAACAAACGCTATATTAATAGGCAACTTAAATAACATTTTGCAGGTGCGCATTTGGATCAACTCAAACGTCATCACACTGGGCGCCTTGTACACGGTACTGCGGCGTGTAGCCACGGCAATACCGGGGCAGCACTAAGCGGATAAACTTTGAACAGAGCACCACCTGCTGGAGGCGATTGGGGTTAAGTCTTTCTTCCAAGGTCACGTTCAACCACATAGCTACGGATGCTGTGGGGCCGTCCATAAATGACGTCACGCACCTAGGGGTGGGGCTCAGACATTTGTGACGATGTGTGACGAGGGGGGGGGGGGGTTGAGAAATGTGATGTAACATCAAAATGCGCAACTTTAAATAAATATAGACAACACGTTCTACTTAATTAGACGTTTTAATAAATATTTTCTCCTACAACATCAGAGTACAGCGGCACATTAAATACGCACTACAATGACAATAGTTTAAAGCGATTTGAAGCATGTTTTATTTTCAAAATGGAAATATGGTTTTGGGGGGGATGGGGGTAGAGCTTTGTGACGTCATATTTGAGGGGGGGGGTCTGACTTTTTGTGACGCCGTGTGACGAAGGGGGAGGGGGTCAAAAATCGTCCAAAATCGCGTGACGTCATTTATGGACGACCCCTTACGGGTGTTCGGCTCCACTAATTTCTGGCATCGTCTAGATGAAGAGCTACTCCGGACAGGTAAGACGCACCCCAAACTTGTGCCCGGTACCAAATAATTGTACCCCGAATGCAACTCTGCAGTGCCGGATTATCCCGGTAGCAAAAGAAGCTACACGTGCTACGGGCCCCGCAATTTCAAGGGCCCCGCGCTAAACGCTTTCAAGATATCGATTCCGGTTCAGTGATTCTGCACTTGCTCTGTTGCTATAGTACTACACCGCCTTCACACATTCCTCCCTGCCCCCCAAACTATTCTTTTGAATGACAGGGGGAAAGTGCGTCATGTAATCTAGACGAGAATACGGTAATTACCAATTTCCTTTAGCTCACGACACGTGCATAGATTCTCGCCTGTCTGGTATGGACTCGTCTATCTTGGATGGGGATGGCTTCATATGACTCCTCCAGCCACTAGAGGCCGCGAGCCTTCACCAGTGCTCGATACACATTTGAATCGAATAGCAACCCCCTGAATTATAGCAATTGAAATCATCGTTTCACCGCTAGCGACGACGCAACGCGCACCCAGTAGTGTCAGTCACCGTAACAAAGAGAAGGGTTGGCCTCGTCTGAACCCAGCAGATGTGTAGCCTCAGAAGAAGCGTTGAGTCTGGTGACTCCGAAAGCACCGAGATTCAGCATTGTGACTCATTGCTCCACGTTTCTCCGGCTGTACAGAGACGCATAATTGCAACAAGGCCAATATGCAGCCAAATATATTACGCTTTGAATGAAATACAGTCTGTTCACCTATAACGCGTGTTTTCAGGACGAGAATTGGATATAACGCGATTGAGTGAACATAACTACGTCGCGCGAGTTGGAATAAAGTGGCTGTACGGCTGCCTCGGCGTAGCATCATCGCACAAGGCAGTGGGATGCTACTGGACGCTACCCACGCGCCTCAGTCTTTGTCGGGCCTGCGTACGCATCTCACGTATTTTTTACCACATATGATTAACTATATTTACTACCCGGCTTCGCCCGGGACTTGGATTCACCACGCCCGGCCGCCTTTGTCTCCCCTGTGGCGATGTTCACACACCACACCAGTTACTCGTTTGAGGCTGAGTCGACCTAGGGGAGGCCCAGGACCGTTTCAAATAATCGTCACCGGTGGTGGCCGTGAGCGGGAATCGAACTCGGGTCGCCGGGTTCGTAGTGCAGCGCGCTACCCACTACACTACAATGCGTGACGCTTCCACATGCGCGGGTCACATGACAGATTTGACGTCACAGCTCACTTGGCGTGCAAAAAATCTCTGCATTATTGTGCTCCCCCGCCCCCCAAAAACACAAAAGTTTATTTAAATAATTGTTGCATGGTGTACAGTCTGGAAAGTACCCACATGGCAAATTTCCAGTTTATTGCATGTCGAGAAGTACGCTAAACATGTTGAACAGACACACATAATCACAACCTTGCCTTTCATATATATGGAGATTATAACGCGACTTTTTCCCCCATAACGCGGTGTTCTTCAGGAACCGCGTTATAGGAGAACAGACCGCACACCATAATACGCACGCACATTGAATCGTTTAAAACGGTACCTGGTCGACAGGCTCCGTACCGTGCCATGAAGCCAACTTCCACAGTTGGGGCCGATGTGACCACACGGCCCCGCTCTGTGGATGTGTTCGGCTGCAGACCCGCGGGGCAACAGCGAAGTCGAGTGACCCTGTGACCTTGACTCGACGGCGGTCTCGGGGAACCTTCCGTTCACAACTGCGGATGACGCGTACGTCGCACGGCTCGCCGGGACTGGCGCAATGGGTGATGGGTCAATGAAAGTGGTAACGGTGGATTGCGCACCGAGCTGCGGACGCGATCGCCTGAGTTCGATTCGCAGCCACGGCCAACACGAGTGGCCAAGTGGTATCCGAACTGGTCCCCAGCTGGGCAACAACCTCTTGACCAAACCCACTGGGACCAGCGTGGAGGAGTAGAGTTAAACGAGCCCATGACCGAAAGGCGTTCATCCAGTAATGGATTGATACACGGCCGTACAGTATTGTTTTTAAATTATTTTGTAGTTGAATCAGTGTGTTTCCCCTAGGTCAGCTCAGCCTTAAATGAAGCAGCTGGCGCAGCAATGCACCAACATCAGACCTAGAAAGACAAGCGCGGTCAGACGAAGTATTTGTCCATCCTCCTATTCTGATTCAGTGCCAGCCTTAATAGATGCTCACAAATAGAACATTTGAATACCGGCTCAATGGAGTTCTTTAAACACGCATCTGTATACGTGAACTACTGCAATTTCCATCGGATGAAATTGCAGAGCGCTGCTATAGCGTGGCAGTGGTGGTTAAAATTGGACCTGCTAAGTACTAAGCCAATGCCTTCATTATCTTGGCCTTAACACGATCCCACCCTTAGCCCAGGTCCTTATCTGAGAGCGATATTAAAGGAGCCAGCGCTAAGCCAGTCAGCCTATCCCTTGCTAGGGTCCCCGCGCTGTTTAAAATGGAAAAAGAATTGAATGTCATCCTGTGCAGGTCTCACACGCTGAAGAGGTCCGATATGTTGGCTGATCTGTATCGATAAGCCGCGTCTGTCGTCAGAAAGTCAACGTTACACGAGACGATATGCCATTACAAAGTACAGCAGCCATGCTTATTATTACTATTATTGCAGTTTAGATTTTCTTTCGTGCTCCAATGCTATTTATAAACGAGAAGGCCCAGAGAAGCGGGGAGGGGTGGACGCATTCTTGGTATTGAGAGACAGGAAGAGGAAGACACGGATTAGGGAAAATACGCCAGCGAAAGACATCGTATTGACTGCTCAACTTAGTAGGTGGTGGGCTTGGGCACGACACGTCACTCGAAAGAATGATGGTCGAGAGTGGCACCAAAAGCAGGGACACATCCAATAGGATGTCCACCATGGGGGTGATGGTGTGCTGGGTCTATATGGATTGGTACATCGGCGTGACCTTGAGAGATGGTGACGACTCGGGG